ACCCTTCTGTCTTCTGTGAAAACATTAATTGGCCTTCTGAGAAACAGGTCCTTACTGATAAGCAAACAATGAATTTGCAAGGTTTGCTAGTTTCTGGAACATGTATTTCACCATAAGCCATATTGAACAGAGTCACACATAAATATACAGTGGTGCATTATCTTCTCTGTAGTTCCAATCTACGTATTTTGATGTTGATAGTCTTCATTTTTAGTAAAGGACTTTTCTAAATTCATGGAAATTTGTTACTTCTGTCACTTATGGAAATAAATCATACAAACTCATGAAAAATGTAAAAACTTGGAATTGTTGCATATTTCTACATTTTGCCAAATAATGTAAGACTGTCATGCATCTGAAAAAACTTTATGTGTGCATTTGAATTCTACTTACTTCTGGACAACGCTTAAATAATTGAATCCCATATGATTGAGGGGTTTTGATGTGCCCAGGTTCTGGCCTGAAATTTAAAGTTTTGCCAGAATGTTTTAAAACTGCAACATTATTACATAAACAGAAGATAGTTGTGATTTTGCTTTCAATTTTTTTCATATTTTCATTTGGGGAATTGGTTTAAGTATATATACAAGATTATTTTTTTGTCATAATAAAAGAGTAAGGTGGTCAAAATGCCACATAAAGTACTTCTAAACTTTTGATTCAGGTAATATTTAAAATGAAAGCATAGGTGATACTAGTACTGCTACATTTAACTGTATACTGCAACCTATGTAAGTTTTCAGAAACCTCTGATATGAGCATAAAAATAAATTCTGTGTGTAAACCGGGGGATTGTCTTTAGTATAAAAAGTGCTAAGTGCATTGGTAATGACAAAAGACACTGTAATTATAGTGGACACTCTAATTACAGTGGTTCCAGAAAGCCACATCAAAACAAGATGAAATTATTGAAGCTTCTTATGACACCCAGTTGTGTTTAAATAGCATACATGTTCAAGGCTCGTAAAGATGTGGGTCCTTTTCTTGCTTTAGGGATTTGAAGAATAAAGAAAAGTCAGATTATAAAATTTCTGGATTCCTTAGGTAAAAATTTTATGAATGCAATAAAGACTGTCATGATGAAAGTAGGACCCTTAATAAGAATTTATGTGTTATACACTCTTGTGCTATTCTGTACACAAATATGTGTGTGTGACAGACTGCTGAAACTACACTGGTAATATCTCTTTAAAATGGAACTCTTGTATGGTTGCCAACCTCATTTTTTTATGTGCCATAATAACAAGAGTGTATCCTTGTATGAGTTTCACTGGTTGAACCTTCTGATGATCAAGCTGATATCAATCAAGTAAACACCCTGAGATTTGGAGTTTTGAGGTGAGGAATAGATGGCATTGCTGGACTACTTAGGTAAAAAAAATAGATGTATTAATAAAGTAATGAAAATATGGATGTTTAGCACAAAATGTAGCAAAATGGTGGAAAGCATTGCAATAGAAATATCATTTTAGTAGTCACTACTCCTTCCTACACCCCTTCCCTGGCTTTATCAAGTTGTCTTTTCTTGCTCTCAGGAAACTGTAATGGACACCAGTAGGAATTGCATTTTACTCCATTTTCCTTCGAAATTAAGTCCCACTCTTTGAACCTTCTTCATGCTTTCTCAAGCAGTACTACCAGAACTTCCTTACACTCCTATAAAAACGTTCCTGAAGACCAACCGGTTCTGTGAACTGTTTTAGCCGTAAAGAACACACCCCAGATGTGTTTGTTCTGATTTATCTTGCTCTGTATTGCTCTACTTTTGTACTTTGTACTTTAAACTGGGGCAGGGAATATTTGTTATATCAATATATAAATGAAATCACTAAGACAACGACTGGCATGTAGATTTTTTTCCCCTTTGAAAATAAAAAAATATGTGCAAGATGTGTATCACACATATGGTGGCTATAGAAGCTGTTTCTGTTCTTAGAAATAAAATAAAGAATACTTAAACTATCCTACAAGAGAGAAATCAAGACATTTTAAAAGAATGTATTTCATATATATTTTGCTCCTTTCTACAAGAAACAGAAAAATATTTTATAGAACTTACCCATAGAAGATATTACAGGCATCAGCTATTTTTTTGTTATAATTAAAAAACCAGAAAGTACAAAGCATTATATATTGTTTTACAGAAAGTACAGTAACTAGATAGAAATGCTTACGGAGGTAAGTTGACTCGGTGTTAGACAGGGAAAGAATAAACAAATCAATAGGTGAATGGAGATATTTGGATCTTAGAGTAGCTTTGATTTAACCCCCATAACTGTAATTCTACTCTGTTTGATTGTTTTAGGCGTTCTTTCAGTCACCACCATGTATTTATGAATTTTTTAAACATTCAACTCTGTATTGGGTCATTATGACATTTTTGGTGAACTTGAATATATAATAATGTATAAACTTCAAAATATTCCCTTAGGAGAACAAAATAGGGAGCCAATTTGATAGTTAAGCATGCGGGTTTCTAAAATTTGGATTGCAGATTTTCTGTTACTTGAGACCACTTATGGTCTGCTTCTGCTCAATTACTTTTAAAAAGAAAAAAGAAAAATAGAATGATAGAATTGTTTAGATTGGAAAAGAATCTTAAAAATCATCAAATATAACTCAGCCCAGCACTGCCAAATCCACCACTAAACCATGACCCCAAGTACCACAACTATAGGCCTTTTAAATACCTCCAGGGATGGTGAGTCAGCCACTTTCCTGTGCAGCCTTTTCCAGTGCTTGAAAACCCTTTTGGTGAAGAAATCTCTCCTCATATCCAATCTAAAGCTTCCCCTGCCCTTCTGACCATTTTCTCTTGTCCTATCACTTCTAACCTGGAAGAGGAGGCTGTCCCCCACCTCCTTACAACCCTCCATTCAGATGATTGTAGAGGGTAATAAGGCTCCTGTGAGCCTCCTTTTCTCCAGGCTAAACAACCTCATCTTCCTCAGCTGCTCCTCATAAGACTCTTCTCTGCTTTGCTGCCCTTTTCTGGGCATAATCCAGCACCTCAGTGTTTTACTTGTAGCGAGGGGCCCAAACTGAACGTGGGATTTGAGGTGCAGTCTCACCAGTGCTGACTAGAGAGAGACAATCCCTGCCCTGCTCCTGCTGGCCACACTATTGCTGACACAGACCAGGGTGCCATTGGCCTCCCTGACCACCTGGGCACGGCTGGCTCACATTCAGCTGCTGCAGACCAGCACCCCCGGGCCTTTTCCCAAAGGGCACCTTCTCAGCCACTCTGCCCCAAGCCTGCGCGATGCATGGGGTTGCTGTGACCAAAGTGCAGGACTCAGCACTTCACCTTACTGCAGCTCAGACAATTGGCCTTGGCCCATCAATCCAGCCTGTTCACATCTACAGAGCCTTTACAGAGCCTTCTGGTCCCTCAGCAGATCAACCCCCCACCCAGCTTGGTGTCTTCTGCAATGCAGTAGGAGGAGGTTCTCAACACTGTTTGTTTGAAGCTCTTGACATCAAAAAATTATTAAGACATCACTCTAAGTGAGGATATTTACCTTGACAGCAAGTATCACAGTCAAACATATTTCTCACATGGCCTTCAGTATTTCCAGTGATGACTAATTATCTGTACTTGCAAATTTGACAGGTGGATGGCTACCTACATTAACTTATATCCTGTGTTAAAACCAGGCACAAAAGTAAAAATAAATAAGTAATCTAGAACACAGTCTTCTTTTACACTCAAGGGATCGTACTAAGAGATACTAAGATGCTCCCTATCACTGAGGATGACAAACTACTGCTACTTCACAATATTAAGTTTCCTAATGTTTAAATTTTTGGAACATTTTAGAAATTAAATAAAGAGAAAGAAATATATGTACTTAAATCTTGATTAATATGTAAGGGATAGATACAAAGAAACCCAAGAGAAAGGTGTTATGAAACTTAATTTTTTTTCCATGTACCAATTTTCTCATTAATTTTTCTGTAACTTCTCTCAAATACAGCTTGTGTTATTTGTCCTGGAGTTGTTTTGTTCATTTGTTTTTTTGGAGGCATTAGGATTCAAAGATGGGTATCTTTGTCCTTGAAATTTTTGACAAAAACACACCTAATTTTCATATTCTGAGCTTTCTTGTTGCACAACAAATTTCAAATGAGAAAACTCCAAATTTTACTCTTCAAAGCTTTCTTTTGCTACTTTCTTTGCAGTAAGTATGATCATGGGGTGACTTGTTGAATCATCACTGAATTAGGACTTCACAGATGGTAAACTACAAGCTGAATTTCATTAACCTAGAAATTCTGTTAAAGCTAGAAAGGTCATTCCTTGGAGCTTAGATGTCCCTAGAGGTGTACTTGAAATTAAAAACTCTTCAGCTGAGAAAAAACCCACAGATATTGTGGTTTCATCTGATGAGATACCAGATAATATCAAAGAAGTGGTAACCATTTGAAAATTAAATTTTCCAGGCTTGTTGAATGCCCTGGATTTTAGGGAGTAAGTGCCCTTAAGTAGTGTGCTCCTACAAGTGATGATGGTGAAATGGCCTGTGTTAAAACTCAGATTTTATGCTGGCATGGTTGGTGAGGAAAGTGTGGAGGCCTTGGCTGAACAAATTTACTTGTAGTATCAACAAATGGCAGCCCTAATGAAGGCCAGCTGAGCCTCGCAAGTAACTAAAATGTTCTAAAATATTCATATAAACAGACTGGCCTACTGTAGATGCAGGTCTACTGCCTTGAGCAGTCAATTCTTACACCTATCTAGGAATCAATTGGATTTCTTAGAAAGGGAATGTTTGGTGATAGATAATGCAAGCACCTCTACACAGTGCTGTATATCTTGGTTAGACAATTTTAGGGATCCACCACACACTCAGTTATGTGGTGATTGTTTCAATAGCTGTACTTAGCAATCCAATAATTAATGTTCTGTCATCTGGGAAATCTGTACAAGCCACAAGCTGTTAACTGTATTCCAACATTAAATACTGAAATACAGACAGGAGAAAAGAGATAATGCTTACCAGGTTAACTTGTATAGTGCTTTCCCAGTCCTTCTCATTGTTCACTCCAGCATTATTAACCACAATGTCCAGCCTTCCAAAATGTTCAATTACTTTTTTGAAAGCACCTATAGGAGATCCAAGAGTGACATTTCTTAGAACTTTGGAAAGTAATATATAAAAATACAATGCATGCATAAAAATGAATGGCTTATTAGTCTACCAGAATGTCTTCATTATTTTCTTAAACATTAAATGAGCAACATGCAATTAAATACTTTATCTAACATGCACTAACTTTAGATAAATTTAGGGAAAGTGGAAGGATTAAGATAACATCATTGCCTTTTCATTCAGTTTGATAGTATGATAACAGGAGCTGTAAGTTCTTAGCACTTATACATTTGTAATAGGTAGGATGTTTGGCACCCCAATTACATACATTAAGCATTTATAGTTTGATTTGTAGCAGTTTGGTATAGCTAGTAAAGTCAAGATTTGATACTGTCTATTTTGAATGAAAAGCAAAATCATCAAGTGTTCAGAAAAATTTTCTTAATTCAGTCCAAATTTAACCTAAGAACACAGTTTTTATTTAATGAATAACTGACATGAATATTTCAACTACAAACAATTAATCACGATTCTTGTTTAGATGTATCTATTTATGGTTAAGTTGCTATATATCCTACTTGTCAGGTAACTTTAATAATATATTCTCAAATTGAAATCTTTTTATTTCTGAGGATAAAAATAGTGACTTGTCTTCCAAAGAATTTCAAAATGAGAACTGGGAAACTTCCACAGTGACACTGTGTTTTCCCAGGTGACAGTGTTAGAACTGAGATGAAAGATGTGTATAGAAAACCATGATGATGTCATAATGAGGAGCAAACTTCTCAAGCCTGGCTCTGCTTTGACAAGATGGATGAGATGACTTCCAGATGTTCATTCTGGACTAAGATGTTCCAGGACTGAGGATATTTTCTGACATGTATATATATAATTGCTTGTTTTCCCCTCCAAATATTGTTCCTCATCACAAAATATTTACTATTATGTAAACCAAGACACCACCTCCCCAATATTATTTTTAAAAACATTGTTTGGTATTTGACTCAAAATCAACAGTATTTCAGGTATACAAAAATTGCGCTTGGTAGGCCTTGATGAAATTACTTCACTGAAAGGTGATCCCAGGAGCATCTTCCTTCTCTGGTCCTTAGTGCTTGGCCCTTCATGTCAATCAGGTGCACAGCATCAGCTTGAAGACATCTACCTTTTTCTGCAGCAGTTGCAGGGATTTACAAAGCTTTTCCTGCACCAGCCTTTTCTTTGCCTCAATGCTTCAGGTCCATCATAATCATCATCTTGTGATCAAAACAAGAGCTGGGCAGCTGATGGAACAGGTTTTATTTGTCCAGCTGCCTTTATTGTACAGATCTTCCTAATATTCTTATTCTATACTAGAATATTGTAATATTAATAAATCTTCTGGTTTGGCCTCTCTCCCTTTTTTTCTTTTGTTAGTTGCCAATTCATTCTCTGATTTCTCAACTCTTCAGTCACTTATCTTTCCAATTCTGCATCATCAAGGGCTGAAATGAAAACCTTTGGCTTTATTAAAAGCAGAAGTGAGTATTTAACTTATTTTGAATGAGTAAAATAAATACAATTTGGTTCCTTATTTATCTTTCAAATTTTGGAAACTGGCTAATTCCCTTTTAAGCCCTCTCTAAATAACATCTTATCTAAGAAAGATGCTTCTGAAGATTCTGTTAAGAATTAGAATCTTCAAAAACCACCATGGATAACAGTTATTTTGCCAATGATTTTTTAATTAAACTTACACAGACTTGACTAATTGTAGTTTTCTATTTTACATTTTGAGAAAAGACCAAATGTTTTTGCATATCTCTGTTTGGAATATTTCTGGCAAAAGTTTATCTGCCTACAGTAATCTCATCTATCATCTACCCACAAAAGGAAGAATTTTCTTGTAAATTCTTAGTGAAGTTGTCACCTACACATCAGTATAAGCTGATTTATTCTTCCCTCTTCAAACATAGACTAATTCTGTGTTTGCATTGCACATTAATTAGTGCTTATGGAATTATAAAAAATTAAAAGCAGATGTTTGTTTGAAATATTGAGTGGGGAAGGAAAAATTCAGAGAAGGATTCATTTTAAAGGAAAGGTAAGAAAAACAATGCAAGGTCAGCACAAACACCAGTTCTATGTGAGCTTCTTAAATGTCCCTGGAAGGCAATAGTAAGTATGGTGATTTTTCAAAAGTGGGATGAGATAGGAGATTTTTTGGGGGGATTAGGTGAAAGAACCACCAGAGAAAAAAGTTCAGGCAAGACTTGAAAGTAGATTAAGCAGATAATTTCTTGCCCATAAGCCTCTTGTACTTAGAAATATTAGTTCTAGTACTGGGACTTTCTTCCTACTGTTAGGAAGGGCTAGAGTTAAAAAAAAAGGAACTTCATTCACACACATGACCTTTAACATAAAGTACAGGACTTGATTCCTCTGATGAAACCTTTGAACGCTAAATATGAAATTAATCTAAATTTGTGAAGTAGTAGCTTACAATTGCAAGTGGAAAAATATGAAAATAAAACAACACCAAAACCAGGTCAGAATTCTCAAAGGATTGTGAGACACGATTGCAAATTTAGAGTAAGAAACCTGCAGTAGGATTAATGCAATGATCAGAGAGGCATTAGCAGCAGCAGCCGCCTGTTCTTGCTTTTTTATTTGCAAGAGCCACTTCCAATTTTATTCTGATTACTTTTTTCCTACTAAATTGGTTCCAAAAACTCCCTTGCTGACCTGTCCTTCTCACTCCAGCTCCCGGTTCACACCCTGTTGGTCCTGCACTTGCCTGGCACTAAAGAAAGGAGGAGGTGTGGGAGACAAGGCACACTGAGTAACACCCACACAGCAGCACATGTTATTCCTACCCCTAGGACGCTTTTTCTTGCTCCTTACTCCTCCCACTTGGAGAAAAAGTCAATCATCAACCCAGCTGATAAAAACTTTGCTGATTACAGCAGATCCCAGATTTAAAGTACAGCATCTTTCTTACAAATAGGCAATGTAAAGCTATACAATTAGGAATAATCATGCTATCTTGGAACAGTGGACAGTACAGCTGAATTCTGGAATAGCAACAATGTTTTCTGAAATGGCTATGCTCAATGGTCACTGTTGAGAAAGTGACCAGTGAAGTGTAATGAACGAAAACAGACCAAAACTGTTCACATCTAGTATGGCAGAAATGAATCTGGGGAAAGGGCACTGTCAAAAGAGATGTCAAAATCTGAATCTGAGTCACTACCTATGAATGTACCATTTAATAATGAAACTTTGATGAAGTGATGTGCCTGTTATGAAATATTGTGAAGGTACATCAATGTTATATGATACTCAGTAGGGAACACTGTTTATCCACTAAGTGAAAACAGAGTTGCAAACCATTCATGAGAGAAGCTGCTTCCATTCCATGCATCTGCAAAATGTGTGTGAAATGTTATCACCCTATAGTTAACCCCATGATGAAGCAGCGTGCCAGTTTTTGCCAGTTCTTCTTTCAGCTGTGGCAGCACACAATGAAAGTAAATGCACTGCATGTAAAGAGCACGGCAACCCAGCACAGAATTTATTACTCTTGTGACGAGGGAATGCAGCTCGGAATCTGTACTGAAACCTCATAAAAAGCAAGTCTGAGCTTTAAAGTTTATATATATTACTCATAAAATAGCAATTATCTTCTGCAGAGCCTTTCATGCAAAAATATCACCCACAATACTCAATGGAATTAACTTCTTTGGCTTTCTGTTGTGCCAAGGAACAAAGGGAAATGATGGTAGTAATGCTGGTAGCAATATTTCCCATCTGCAGGTTCAGGAACAAATCGTTTTTGGGTCAGTGCCAGCCGCGATCGGGAGCAGGCTGTCCCGCAGAGCTCCCACTCCGCGGAGCGCTTACGGGGCTGCGGCCCGGCGCAGCGCTCACCTCCTACCTTTCAGCTGCTCCTGGTCCGTCACGTCGCACTGGATGAACAGCGTCCTCTGCGCTTCGAACTGCTCGTCCAGGGCCGCCTTGCTCTCCTGTCCGGCCTCGCAGTTGCGGTCCAGCAGGGCTACCTAAGCGGGGCGGGAGGAAAATGAGCGGCTGGCGGGAGGGCGGATGGACGGACGGACAGGTCGCCCGCCGAGCCGAGCCCCGGGGGCTGCCACCACCCCCCGCCCGCGGGTGCCGGCTGCAGGCAGAGGCGAGGGAAAGGGAGGACGCGCTTCCCGGGGCTTACCTTGGCGCCCTTGCCCAGCAGCGCCTGGACGAAGGCGCGGCCGATGCCCTGCGCCCCGCCGGTGACCAGGGCCACCTTCCCATTGACGTGCATGGCCGCCGCGCTCCTGCCGCCCGCTCCGCGCCCGCCGAGCGCCAGCAGCCCAGCGCGGTGTCACCTGCCCGGCTTCCTTTCTCCCTCCTTCGTGCCCTCCCTCCTGCCCTCCCTCCTGCCCTCCTCCTGCTGCCGCCGCCGCTGCAGCAGCTCATTCCCCCCACTCCCCACTCGTGCGACCGAGAGCCTCCCGGAGCTGCCTGGGCGGGGGGAAGCAGGGGCGGAGCGGGTCATTAAATCCTCCCGAGTGTCTGCATGAGCTCTGGAGAGCGAGAGCCAGAGGGAAGATCAGCTTCATCCCCTCTTCCCAACCCCAGGCTTTCCGGGAAGGACAGGCTCGCAGTGTCCCCCGGAGAAAGGGTCCCAGGGCAACTTCAGCTCCGCTCGGTGGAGAGGGGGATTCGTGTGTGCGTGTGTGTAAATCGCGTGAGAAGCTGTTCCAAGCTTTGATAAGGGCTGTTGGCAGCTCCTGAGGCTGTGTAAGTTTTGGTTGGCCCAAGTCGCATGAGGAATAGGGTGAGGACAGCCTCCAAAACAAAACAAAAAAATGGGCCACTCGTTCTCACTTCAGAGCAACCCACCAGCTTTCTCACTCTCATTCCCCTAGTAGGCAGAATCTACTTGCCTGAAAAAGTAACCATTTATTGTTGCAGATATTAGACATATTAAGATAAGTGTTTTTGTGAAATTTTCAGGTCTGTGGTTAATATACCTTAGAACAGGTTTAACTGTTTTTATAGCTTATAAGCCAAATTCTGTCTGCTATATTAATGTGAACTGTATGCAATTAAAATTCCTCAATACAAATGCATATGAGCGTACAGTAGAAGTAAGAGCATGCTTAATCATGTGAAAACTGAAATAAATGCTCTTGTTCATTAGCTTGTTACAAGATTCACAAATGTTATCCCATAGCAAATGCAATGTTGTGGAGTATTGGGTAGGCAGGAAAAATCCTTTGTTCCAGTCCTGAGCTATATAAACATGTACATCGTGCAAGTGTGCATGTATCTTAACCCACACACTTGTCTTTTATGTTCTCTGTTTTCTTTTGCCTGGTGTATCAGGTTTAAATGTTTTACTTGTGCTTTGAAGGCCCTAAAGTACTCTGACTCAGACTGCATCTCTATCATTAATGTCTTGTAATTTCTTCTTGTTCCTCAGTAACAATGTTCCTATTTTGCCCTCTCTTTTATCCCTCTTCTGTTTTCTACTAGTCTGCCTTTATCTACGGAATTCCCTTCTTTTGTATCACCTAGAAGAAAGAAATTACATCACCCAGCAAACTGTTACAGAACCATTAAAGTAACTTTGTTACCTAATTGAATAAATCAAATAACACAAGATCTCGTTATTATAACCTTTGTCCTTAAAAATGTGAACTAATATAATCCAGCTGCTAGAATGGATCACAGCCATCAAGTTTTCCTAAAGATCATGATTCACCATACTTCAGAAGAGCAGTCAAAGGTGGCCCCTGGGATAAGTGATTTGTTCACATATGATACCTGTGTTTCTGGGGAGGACTCCCATTTGCTTTGGAGCTGTGAATATTATGCCACCCAAAGTGCCATGCCTAATGAGCTCTGTCCCAACCAGATGAGCCAGCTTCCCTAATTTGTTGGGACACAAGCACAGTGACAGGTTAAAGTCACATCATGAGAGCAGTATTACCACATAGGGATCTAACAAGAGCATTGCAATGGACTCTTTCGCCTGCAATTTAATCCTGATACCACCTACCCCTCCTTCCCCTTCCTTCCCTCTCCTATGGCAATGATCAACATCTGTCTTGGTCTTTATTTCCACAATGTAATTTTTTTAAAAGAGCTATGGAAAGGAAAAGATCAATAAACCCCTCTGTATTCCAAACAGCTGTAGCTGGAACGACCTTTGGCAACAGTTTTCTAAATTGTTGATAATTTGGCATGCATGTTAAGAACAATCTGGACTCTTTAGAAATGCTGGAATGCTTTAAGATCTGAGTGCACACACTGTTTCCATTAAAAAAAAAAAAAAAAAAGCTTATAATTCTGTGTCCAGAGATCTGCTTGATTGAATACAATCCTGGGTATCATAGGTTGAAATTGTTTAGAAGTATTCTGATAAACTAAGCCAGAGTTTCTAACCTGGTTTTGTTGGCTGACAGACTCTTGCCATTATTCCATTAAAGAATCCAAATGATACATCTTCCAAGATGGCAAAAAAAGATCCACACTGATACTCATAACCTTGGAGAAATATGTTTGATATAAGAGACAATGTTCCTAACTAGAACAGGATGTGCCAATCCTCTGCAGGATGGAAGTAATAGAAGGATGGCTCTGTGATTTACCTCTGGAGCCAGCAGAGATCACTTGGCTGTAAGGGATATGTGTGCTTTGCTTTCAAACTGCACTGGATTTGTTGCCAACTCACTACAGGTACTCCTAAGAAATTTGCTGTTGCATAGTCCTTTACCATCACAAGTTTTTAATTTGACCAACTGCATAAAATATAAAATATTGCCCATAGGAAGAAGCTTCTTGGAGACATCTGTTAGAAATCCTGAGTTAGCATCTCAGTCCTCTTGGTGAAACTTGGGGGGTAGGGAGTAGTAATGAAATATTTTTCTCTTCTATTCATAAATTGACAGTTTTTGAACCTTTACTTCAATTTTAAAGAGAAGTTTCATAGAAGCATGAGGACTTCCATTGTCAACTTTTTAATGGCCCACCTTTTCAAATAAACCAACCTTCAGAAAAAAAGTATTCAATCTTGCATAAAAAGCTGAAAGAGCTGTCACATCAGGCAGCAGCATACCATAAATGATCTGTTTTCATAAATGGCTAATTTGCAGAGGACTGAGTATACGCCGTGGGTACCTTATTCTGTGTATACTGGTACACTTATTTAAGCTGATTTGCTGATTTAAGAAAATGTGAGACAGTTAATAATGGTGCATGAGTCAAGAGTCAAACCAAATTTTATCATATTTGTGATTCTTTTCACCAAAGTGAAATTTACACTAATGCTTGCCCTAAGGAGTTTTTGTGTAATACATTAACTAGACTCGAAATTATCACAAGAAACTATTATCTTAAATCACAGGCATGAAAAGATACTAAATGAGTACACAAATATTTGATTTTAGTGCTTTGAGAGAAAGGTAATTCCATGCATTTTCTGTTCAAAGTTAAAAAATAATACTACTAAATAATGTCTTACATGCTGCTGAGGTCAAATCTTTCGCACAAACTCCTGCAAAAGGATGCAATGTTGAATGTTTATTAACCGTTGCATATTGTTTGTGTACAGAATGCCATTTCATTTATTGCTTTCTAGTAAACTTCCTAGCTAGCAATAAGTCTTTTTTTGCTTTCCTTTTATCTCTGTGGTTCCTCTTCCATTTCTCTCCATTTACTAAGCCCGTGGCTTCTAATGCGCTGTTCCTCATAGGCCACAGCGGCATCAAAATGAAGGAGCTCCAGGTTGTTTAAATCTATTTTTGTAGAGAAGACAGAAATATGACCTCTCAGACATATGTCACCCTGTTCATTCATTTTTTGTTACCCTGTTCTCATTCTCTGCAAGGTGTTATCCGAGTTGCTGTAAATACCAAGTAAGTGGTGTCACACAGGGAATGAATTGTCAGGCAGTGTGTGTAGCAGGGCATACAAACACAGCTAATCAGCATGTGTGCTTTGGTATGCAGCTCAGTGCATTTCCCCAGCTTCTACTACGAAGAACAGGTGGAATACAAAACTAGAGAAGTGCCACAAATGTCCAGCTTTGCATGGGGCAATTAAAAGAGATTTCAGGCCACATACTTTATGTGGTGTGTGTTTTTTCATTAACAAGAAACTTACAGCGAGTATGAAAGAGTTTTCCATGTCCAAGAGGCTTATTTATAATGCAATTTCTGTATTTTCTCCCTGCATGTATTATGTTGAAAGGCATAAATTGCTGCATAAGAAGAGGACCTTATGCAGCTGTGCTACATATCAGATATTACACCTAGCTGTGTATACAAGAGAGTTCACGACATAGACTGACTGCCAGAAATATCTAACTAACTAACTCAGAGGGCAAGAAAATGAACGAATAACAGGCTCAGAGGCTTGCCAAAATGCATTTTTAGGGGACAAGATCATATCATGGTAGTGAGTGGCTAGATTATTTTGTTCACTTAGGACAGCAGCAGAACATGTACAAAAATGTAATGTACTTGGGCCAAATCAGAGAAAACTGGGTACATCAAAGTAGAGTACAAGAAAATAGTTGTCAAAAATCTTTTTTTCACAGGGCTTGTACTGTATGTTGAACATATCATGACTTTCATGGTGAGATTTGGAGTAAGACACTAAAACAAATAGTTATGTTGTTGTCTGTCTTTTCAAAAATAGCAGGCAGGGTAGCAAAAGCAATAATGTGGGTTTTTTTGAAAATAAAAGCAATTGAGGTTTGTAGTATTGTCATAAGAGAAATGGTAGTTGATGAAAATAAAAGGTTTTTGTTAGATTTAAGAGGACCATACGGTGAAAGCTAGATCACTTTGCTTTATAAAGTAGAAAAGAGAAGTCACTGGAGATGATAAAAAAGAGACAGAGAAAATTTTACAGTGCAATTTCCTGATTCTTGAGAATGTCTAAAAAGTATACATTTTTGTGGAAAGATGTGTCAGAACGTGTGGGAGGATGTGACAATAAATGAGATACAGAGAGATGATGACTGGTTTTTAGAATGCCTCTAATTGACTTTAGAGAAGGAGGGTTGAAATTCCTGTCATTTTGGAAATATCTACTACTACTGAGAGAAAAGTTTTGAAGTTAAGAAAATAATGTAGTGCCAAATATCTTGAGAAGAGGTGAAGAAAATAGCTGCCTAGGAAGCTAAGGACAAAAGATTTAGAAATCCTCTCCTGAGTACCTATTCAGAGAGGCTTTCTAGCTCTCCAACATGCCTTTCCTTGATCAAATTACTTCCTCCATGCTCAGCATTAATTCAGTCTGTATCTCAGG